ATGTTTAAGTAGGGAGTCAAAGAGCAAATGTTACTGAAATGTTACTTTTTTATTTCCATTACCAACATAATAATATGCTCAATGAAAACAGCTCTTTTTTAAACATTTAGTTTTTTACAGTTAGTACAAATCTGTTTTACTTACTCTTAGTTAGTGATAGTAATTTACTGAAACCTTGCACTGAACTAAGACAATGTTTTTATTTGTATTTAAGACACCTGACAGTACTTCTACTCATATTTTCTTGATAAAATAATGTTTTCTCCACATTAGTTTCAACAGATCAGTTTCACACACATATATATGTCCTCCCAAAAAAGCACATTATCTGGCTGAATACTCTGGGAAAGATAGAGGCAATTCTCTTAGAAATTCGCCAGTCATGTTTCTACCTGTGCCTCTCTGCATTTAGTTTTTAGCTCACTGTTGCGCTGCAAGTCAGTAAGTTCCATTTGCAACACAAATGTGTAACAGTGTGCCTGAAGTCAGCAAGACGCTCATCTGCTGTAGGTTTTCAATAGCAGTGGCATCTCCATCACCACTGAATGCTGTTCCCTCTTCCACAAGAGATCTGCATGCTGTGAAATGACTGAGGGTTTTTGCAGACAGCTGAGTTTCTTTAATCTCAGTGAATAGCTGGCCAGGGCCCTGCAGCTTCAGGTTCAGGTTCTGTTCAGCTCCTGTGTTATGTCCACTAAGAATGCAAGATCCATTGAGGATCGAGTTCAGAACAGCCATATTCCATGAATCTCTTCCCCTCTTAACTCAAAGATTCTCTTCATGACATTTCCCCTGCTGAGCACACACCAGTAAAGTACATCACCATATGCTGACTCAATTTCTTCTAAAAAAGACCTGGACCTGGCCATGCTGTAAACTCCTGGACCTGATGTAACTGATACATTTCAGGTCAACGGACATGATATGGTCATATTTCAAGCATTAGCTGTACAATGCCCGGTGTAGGAGACAGTGCAGAACAACTGCTGGATCAGCATTTTCCTTCTATCATTTTTTTTAAACCAGTGCTACCAGTGTGTTTTTTAATTTAATTCTGTCACGGATGGGGCTGTATCAGTGGTAATCCCTACCAGTCTGTTCGACGGCAAACCAGCCCGCTCAATCGCACCACACAGCTGCTGAAATATATCCTTGGCTGTGGTACGGCTGTGCATTGGACACAAACTCAGCAACTCCTCTGTCACCTCAAATTTCTCATTAATACCTCTGATGAAAGTGGTCAGCTGAGCTCTGGTGGTTTGGTCTGTACTTTAATCGAGTGCCACAGCGTATGCAGTTAAGCACCAGGCTTTGTCGGGTAATTGTTCGTAAATGTCACTTGATAACTTGTTAATCCGCTCTGCCACTTTGTTTGTTGTTAGCGAGAAACTGCACTTCGATTAACAGCTTTCACGCTTTGCAGATTAATTCACTCACCACATAACTTGCTTCAACAGCAGCATCCGTGTCCTTCTTGGCTTTATGAAAAAGACGTTGCTGATACGATAGTCCTTTCTGTAGCTGTGTTGATCATTTTTTCCTCTCATTTCCCTGGTACTTCTCTATTATTCCCATTGAACTCCAAGAATAAGTACTGCAATGTCCATCCTTAACCCTAATTCTTGACAATGTTTATCATCCACTTTTCTTTTCGGTTTGGAAAGCGACAACTTTATTGTTCACAGACAACCAACAAACACAGCTCCGAATCTGCTCTATTCTTTGACGCAAACTCAATACATTTTTAAATAGAATTGTTCTTTATTTCAATTGCACATGAAGGGGTAGTTTAAATTGGTGTGAAACAACTAATTAATAGTAAAATCAAAAAATAATAACAGGGCCAGATTATATTATATTTTGGGCATCAGGTTGCGGGCCTAATGGAGCGGGGCTAGCCCGGGGGCCAGGAGTGTGACACCCCTGAGCTAGGGTCTTCTATTTATCAATAAACATCAGCAGTTTTTATGCTACAATTCTATCATCCTCAATTTTTTGTGAGTTCAATTTCTGTCAGTTGCAACCACTGGAGTCTCAGATTGAATCCTTACCCCAATCTTTCCACACAGTGCCAAGATATTCCAGAAGACCAAGTGCAACATGTGCAACAGTCCCCTGGAGCTGCCTTCCGTTCATTTCCTGTGCAGTCACTCCTTCCACCAACACTGCTTCGAAAGCTACGCTGAGAGTGAGGCTGAGTGCCCAACGTGCACCCCAGAGAACCGAAAAGTCATGGACATGCTGCGTGCACAGGACCAGAAACGTGACCTGCACGACCACTTCAGCAGACAGGTAATGATTAAACTCTGAATAAAAAAACAATTGAATGTATGCATTTCATTCATATCCTTTTATTCTGATATAATTTGAGATAATCAATCTAATCTGTATGCTTTACTCCTCCCCAGGGTGCAATTGTCATAATTATTATCTCTTTCTGTGCTTTTCAGTTACGCAGCTCCAACGATGGTTTCTCTGTGGTGGCTGACTATTTTGGGCGAGGAGTATTCAACAAACTGACTCTGGTCACTGACCTGCCTGGCAACAAAACAGTCGGGAGTTTAGAAGTGAACCTGCAGAGAGACCTGCTCATCCACACCAAGAGGAACTGCTAGAAACCTCAGTCTGTACTCACAGTGTGATTCCTGCTGCAGCTGGAGCTCTATGTCCAGCTTCGACCACGTGCTTTGCTGCGGCGAATGCATTTGCCTGCTTTAAGTACCTGTTGTGGAGCTGTTCAACTAATTGTGTTCGTAGTGTGTCATGATTCACTGGAGACTGCATAAATGTACTTTGATTTAAAACATGCAATACTGAAAACCTCCCTCAAACATAACCTGGAGAATTCTGCTCTTTGGATTCTTTGCTTGTAGTCATGTCATCTTGCACAGAACCTTCAAAAATAGTTGAACCATCTGCCATCAATACTTACTTTTGATGGCTTTCATACTATTTTAATAATTAACAATAAATATAGTCATTATTAGGTGTATTTTCTCCCCTGGCTGTATTGGTTTTGCGGCAGTCTGCTGCCAGTCTAGCCTTTTAAAATACACAGAACTTGTATGATGACCCTTGATTAAAGATTATATTACATTGCAAGAAACTAGGAAATGAGAAAGCCTTCAAAACCCTAGCTCATCTATGGTTCCTGAGCCTTACTGTCTGAAAAAGTCCGACCCAGAGGCTCATCCCATGTCAGGTTTGCATAGGTCTGTACACCTGCTCATCTCTCCTGCGCATCTTCCTTACTGACTGTTAACCCTGACATGAGCCTTTGCTAAAAACTACTCTACATTATCTGCTGCATCTGCGTGCTTATGTCTTGGCTCCTTGGTGTATGTATTTTAAGTGAAGGTTACTTGCAGCTGATGCTACAGCCTCTCCACATAAACATGTCATTTACCTGGTCAAACCAGCGCTGCGATGCTTTCACCTCAGAAATCACATTGGTCCCTGAGTGCAGTTACATTGAGGGTGGTGAAGAGCTTCTGTTCCTCTATGTAGTGTTCTGAGAGTTGAGCCTCTTTGCTCTACACACACACAGTCTTTAAAGGTCCAGTGTGTAAGATTTTAGTGAAAGGGATCTATTGGCAGAAATTAAATGTAGAATAATCCTCATGATGTTTTCACTAGTTTATTTCATCTAAATTGTATGAATTATAGTTTTCTTTACCCTAGAAAAGGCCCTTTATATTTAAATACTTTATATTTACATGGAGGGGACCCTCTCTACAGAGGCTGCCATGTTTTTTACATTAGTCCAGACTGAACAAACTAAAAACCTTTTGAGTTTAACGACAATTAAAGGCTACCACAGGATTTTTTTTCATGTTTGGAAGGGGAGGATGAGGTGAGAGGTGTTCAGCTGCAACATGCAACTTCAACACTAGATATCACTAAATTCTACACACTGTACCTTTAACATGAATATCAGTGATGGGTACTATAAGTCAGAAACTAAAGCGGACCACCACTGATGTTAATTCTCTGGCCTGTCCTCTGGTTTTTGTTTGGCACCACACACCTTTGAAAGGAGGGGACTCTGTATAAAAATTGTTGCAATTCCTAAACCCTTCCTCCAATTTTGATGTAAATACCCTCAAATTAAAGCTGAAAGTCTGCACTTCAATACCATCTCGGTTATTTCATTTCAAATCCATTGTGGTAGCATACAGGGCCCAAATCGTGAAAATTGTGTCACTGTCCAAATATTTCCGGACCTATCTGTATGTGCACACAGGGTAACAACATGCGACACATCTCATCACAGTTGGTGCTAAGAGATGTTTGCATTGTTCCACTCACAAAGAACTGTCAGGCTCCTAAAGCTGCACGACGCTGGATTTCCATCCCAGCCACTGTTCCTCTACTGGCAACGCACCGTCCATTCAACTTGATTCATTCTGAGCAGGCATGTGCTCTGCTCAGGCTTACCTGGAAATGTCGTCATTCTACATCACGCCCACTATCTGGACGTGGACCAATCGCATCCGGCCAGAAACGGGCTCTCGACGCCACTCACCTCACGTGGACCAATCACAGAGCAGTGCGTGGAGCGATGTGGGCGGGCCCCGGACTGGACATCGCTTGCTCGCGTGCCCTCAAAGTCAGCGAGAGTTACTTACCGGAAATACAGGGGGCTGCCTTTCAAAACAAGAGCACGAGCGTTAATAATGGATTCTCTCTCTGTATTGTCTTTATATTTCAGGACCAACATTTTTCTTCAGAACCTCAGATGTGTACTTGAATGTAAATGCTGATGCGGTAGCTTCCCTGACTAGTGTTATTATCTCTTTCAGGATGTAATAAAGCAGTAACATTGGATTTGAAAATGAAAAGAACAGTAACCAGCGCCTTTCAAATGCATGACATGGTTATAGATTCAAATAAGATTTTTATTTTCAATATGGTATCTGTTTAAAATGTAGTTGTTTGCTCCACCAATTAGTCGACGGGTTGTTTTAATCTGTAACACTAACCGGATGCGGTATGTTTGCTTCTCGTTAACTTGGCGGGACTTTTGCTCCCGGCAGCCGCTCGAGTGGATCCAATGAGGTGACGCCGCGTTCCGGGCCCGACTACTGAGAGCGAGCCGGTGATAAGCGAACTAAAGACGGCCACAAGCGTGACAGCACAGAGGCTGCGAGTCCAGGCAAAACCCAGGAACACGAAGCCGAAAGCGGTGTCCTTTTGCTGGTCGCCCCGCCACACTCCGGTCTGAGCCGCCCGCCCGAGGAGAGGTGAGTTCCTGCCCCGGCACAGTGTCAGTCATGCTCTCTTATTGATGGTGGTCTGACATGGAGCTAGCTAACAGTAGCTGTCAACTTCCCTCAGCTCCCGGCGGAGAAGCGCTGTCTCTGCACCGGAGCAGCTGCACAGATGTTTCACACGGAAATGTTCCACTGGAACTGAGCGGTTATTGAAAACCAGTAACTGCTCTCTGTTCCCTTAGCTTTGTACCAAACAGCGGCAACTTCTCCTGCGAGCAGCCGCTCCAGCAGAGTGACTTCCAGAAGCTAAAGGTCTCATGTGTGTTTTAAAACAGTGAGGGTTTGAACCGTGCATCCATTTTACCGTCATGCGTCACTGGCTCACCGGGACTGGAAGATTCTGTGCTGCACATTTCCTCCTGCTAACGTGAAGCACAGACACTGATGTGGCTTCCGATGTTCTCTCTCTGGGTGTGAAGCTCTGGCTCCAGTCTCTATTCACACAGTGTTTAAAACGCATTTACTTCCCTTTGAGTGCAGCGTGGTTAAAGCAAAGCATCGATGCTTTGCACTGGTTTAACTGCCACGTGTTTGGAAGTGTCCTCACCTGTGTGGGAGGGATCAGGTGCATTAGATGCTTGGGCAAAGGACAGGGTCATGCCCAGCGCTGGCTTTGCGGTCCATCAGGAGACAGGAGTATGATGCAGCTGTGAAGACATCCTGAATGAGTATAGAAGCAAATAGAGCAGGTTAGTCATCTCAGGTGGGAGATCCTGTTGCTCCTCCCCCCCCACATAGAGAGACATCATCTCTGGATGAAAAGCATCTCTGCAGAGCAGCTTGACCATCAATGAATCAGAGAGATTTTGACCGCAGTGTGTGATGTTACCTAGAAGAAATGTCATAAATGACCAGGCCTGGTTCCTGGGATGGTTTTTCATTTATTTCATTTCATCTTTATAGCTCATCATGGGGGAGAAGAGGATGCTGGCTCCAGTGGCTCTCTTCTGCCTTGTTCTGGCAACGTTGCCTTCTCACACAGGTAATATGATCCATCAACATATGCACACATTGTCCTAACATGGCGCACTAATTGCAGCGGTGAGCAGTGTGAACAATGCCATGCCAGTAAACACAAGATTCTGTGATGAATCAGTGTGGGGAAATAACTGAGCTGAGCAAATACTTGAGCTCAGGAGCTTCATGTGGCATTTGTGTGTTTGGTTTTTACAGTGACAGTAGCTGTCATGTCAGTTGACCTGGGCAGTGAGTGGATGAAAATGGCGATAGTGAAACCTGGTGTGCCGATGGAGATAGTTCTCAACAAGTGAGTATAACAAAGCTTTTGTCTCAGAGTACAGTGTGTACTCACCATGTATTTGATGTCACTGGGAATGTAACCAAGGGAAATGCCCTTTCTGAATAGAGTAAATGAAGCTCAACACTGTGTGTGTTGTCTTTTCTTTCAGGGAGTCACGGAGGAAAACACCCATTGCCGTGTGCCTCAAGGAAAATGAGAGACTTTTTGGAGACAGTGCACTGGGAGTGGTATGACTTCTTCTTAAGTTGACTAAATTGCATGTGATAGAACATCAGCTTAATGATGGTTTCCTTGTATACTATTAATGCTCATATATTCTGTACATTTCAGACTGTGAAGAACCCCAAAACTGTATATAGGCACCTCCAAAGCCTACTGGGTAAAAAGCATGAGAACCTCCAGGTGGCGCTCTACCAGAAACGTTTTCCTGAGCACCAGATGCAGGAGGACCCAGTGAGAGGCACAACTTACTTTAAAAACTCAGAGTGAGTCTTTTTTTAACTTGTTCCCTGCTTCACATTTGAATTTTTCATTATACAGTAAATACAAACATTAACTCTTTTGTCCAATCATAAAGAATCTTAAATATTTTGCATGTGGTTTCCACAGTGGTGGTTCATCACTCGCCAGTACGAGCTATTAACAGGAACTAGTTCAGTCTGTTCTAAACCTGCCTGTTTGCTTTGCCTGCTGTAATGATTCCTTCTCATTAGGGAGTCCTTCTTAAACAGTTATACAAAATACTGTCACTTTTGTATTGTTTGTGTGTTGGACATTGGTTGCAAAGTCTATGGTGCAGAGTGAAGTTAGGAAACTTTGTGTTTATCTGCCGTAAAGATTTTAGTGTCATGTTTTTTCTTAATTGAAACTGTATGTATTTAATTACTGTTCAGGTGTGTGGCTAACATATACGTTTGAATGATTTACTCAACTGGTGTTATTCTTTCATATATAACATGTCAGCTATTTCCAAGGTCTGTTAAGCAATCAGCAGAATCTTCAGACCCAAGTTCACACCATTTCAAAATAAAAGCGCTGTAACTCCAACCAGTGTTCTGATTGTTACAGAGCGCTTGCTCCTGTTCAACACTTTTTATTTTGAAATGATCAAGACAACTCAAACATGCAAACAATTTCCAAAAACTCAAGTGCAGTACACAAAAAAGATATTGTACAATATCGTATTGGTGAAGAGAAGATTAGAGTTCATAGTAGACTGATAAACAGAAAGAAAAGGACCAAAATCAGATTAGTGAAACCACTTGTACTATCTAACTGTTATTAATGGTCTGACGTCAAAGATCTGTGAGGGGTGTTGCCCTCCATTTGAGGTGGCCTGTAACCAGTGGCCGGTTTGGTTTAGTTTAGATGGACTGTTGTGCATTTAAGGTGAGCTCTGCTTTGATAGGACGCCATCCAGTAATGCATTTACGGCACTGTGGGATAAACCTAAATCTGGTTGGCTGCTATAAGGCCTGCCAGAAGAGGTCTACGTTAATTCAAAGTGAGAGGTATTGAGGAGCCATCATTGAGAAGACAAATGCACAGGTTGGGTGTTAATATGGATTCAAGTAATTCTGATAGTGTCAACATTACAGACTTCCGGAAATCTTTGCCCTGTTTATTCAAAGTTAATTCATGTTGAATGTTATAATTGCACCAAAGTAGCCACTGCACCTCCCTGACAGACAGATGTTTGTGGAATTAGGTAGATATCCTGTATCAGGCTGTGTGTCTGTCCTACAGTGTTGTTTTTCAATTCTTCATCATGTAGAATCTTTTCCATTAATGTGACTGATTTAATAGGTATAGTACAGATGGTTCGACTCACATCACATCTGTCTTTTTTCCTCCAGAGAGTTGCAGTTCTCACCCGAGGAGCTCCTTGGGATGGTGCTCAATTACTCTCGTGGACTGTCTCAGGACTTTGCTGGTCAGTTGGCACAGGGAAGAAGATGCATCATTGTGTTACATTTACAAACATATGAGCAAAGTATATTAATCTGCATCTCTTCTTTTTCTATCCTCCTAATCTCTCTAACTTCCAGAACAACCAATCAAAGATGCCGTGATCACCGTCCCAGCCTTTTTCAACCAGGCAGAGCGTAGGGCAGTCTTGCAGGCCGCGCAGATGGGCGGTCTAAAGGTCCTTCAGCTCATCAATGACAACACAGCTGTGGCCTTGAACTACGGGGTCTTCAGGAGGAAAGATATTGACAACACAGCTAAGGTGCACATTCAGCATTTCTCCTTAGTGCATGTTTAAGAATCAGTCTGGTGCAGTAAGTGACTATTCTCTCCTGTAGTTGACAAATCCTATGTCCACATTGATAAAGTCTGATACACTATCTTATTCCGCTGTGCCACCATTGTTTCCAAATCCTATTAAAACACACCAGTGAGCCACACTTGAGTCTTTTCTAAGGAATGAACTCTGGTTCTTGAGCCGGTTTCCTTGTGAACTCTTGGAACCTTTTTGCAAAACCACAGTTTCTTTCAATATTGATTAGAACCATTGGTTATGCCTGAGCTTTTATTCTGTTATTATAAATATGTGATTTGTCATCACAGACCATCTATTAATAAGAAGATGTGGAGGACTATTACATGTAACACAAATCCTCTCTTTCTTGTTAATAGAATATGACGCATCATGTTCACATTTTAGGTCAAGGAAAAGGTGCTAGTTTTTTTTGGGTGGAAACCAAATTCGTAACCTCTCATCCAGATTATTAGTCAAAACTCTTAGAAAGGAACCGACACACTGTACAACTACCGACCTTCTGCTTAGAGGACGACCGCTCTAACCCCTGAGCCACATTGTGCCTTAAATACTCGACAGAGAACATCAGTCCCTGAACAAATGAATGAATATAAGTTTTGTCCTGAAAAATATTTTACAATCAATTGAGTATTAAACATTGGTCTCCCTATGAGAAGCAGCTCCACGTTTAGCACTGTCCATAACTCTGTGTCTGAATGTCTGATCTTGTTCTTTTTCAGAATGTGATGTTTTATGACATGGGCTCTGGGAGCACTACTGCCACTATTGTCACTTATCAGACCGTCAAAACCAAGGAGTTTGGCACCCAGCCCCAGTTGCAGATCCGAGGTGTCGGGTGAGTCCACTGATCCTTAAAGGGGGCATCGAAGATTGCTCGATCAGCACAGCGTTGAGGCTGTGTAATGGTCTGTTGCCAGGATTTCTGTGTCGAAGAGCTTCTGAAATATGTGAAAACGTGTGATGTGAGGACAGAAAGGATGTGGGTAGCGATCAGAAATCAGAATTGCTTCAGTGTGTCAGGTGCGCTCACACCTGTACCGTTCCTGTAATCCGATCATAAGCAGCCAGCGACCTGTTTTCTCCAGCCTGGAGAGATGGAGTGTATTTTTTTTAAAATAAAAGATATTTCATAGTTACTGTACTTATGTCAGCATTTGACCACTAGATGCCTCTACCTGCCAGTGCCCTTCCTGGCATCTCGGCAGGCCAGAGACTGGAGATTGTTGGTCTGACCAATCAAAGTAGTGGAGGCATTACTCACTGTCCCCGCCTCCAAAGAGTGCTGAGCAGTTGAGAGTGCATTGGGAGTGCTCAAGCTCATGTTTGTCACAGCCCCTTGTAAGGATGTTTTCTGCACATGGGTGCTTGTCATATCTGGTGCTCACGCCTGCTTTTATGAAGTTTTCTGAACAATTAAATAAAAGTTACACACTCTAGCATAGTCTTAAGATTTTAGTCTGACCTGTGAGTATATTACAAGACTGTAAATCATGGATTGTACTGTATTTCACAATAAGAATTAAAGAGGTTTTGTTCTGTCTTGTCCTCATCCTGTTAAATTCAAAACAGGAAGACACATGCAGAGATCAGACACACACACACACACACACACACACACACACACACACACACACACACACACACACACACNGCAGATCCGTCAGCAGAGAGACTTCGAGGTAGTTCAACACAACCAGTCGATCGTCCTGTTCCCCACAAACATACAACATACAACACATCAACACACACACACACACACACACACACACACACACACACACACACACACACACACACACCATACTGAGAGATATCCATGTCTAGCTCAAGTGAAGTTAGAAGAAGCAGATAATGTGTCTCAGGTATAAGGCTTGCATCTACACATTAAATAGAGCTGTGTCTTCAGCTGCTGTAGAATCTGTCTTGACATCTTCAGCGCTGTATTCTTTGTGTTTGTTTGTATTTTCTTTTTTCCCCCCATTTTTGCGCCTGTTGCGTGTTAGAAAAATCACCCCCACTCGCTTGTAGTGAATTCTATGGAAGATCTGCTGTGTTCTCACATCGGCTCCTCGGGAGTAAGATATCCCAGAAGCTCTCACTCGGACATCTGACATTTGGAATGTCTTTGATTAGACGGAACAGTATATGCTTCCTGCATTTGACAGACAACCTGCATAATAATAAAAATAATTATTCACCTTTCAGAAACTTCAAAGAAGTCCATGTAGACTAAGGTGTGCCTCTCTTCTTCTGCCTCTAGGTTTGACCGTGGGTTGGGGGGCTTTGAGATGGACCTGCGACTGCGGGACCACCTGGCCAAACTGTTCAACGCGCAGAAGAAGAGCAAGAAAGACGTGAGGGAGAACCATAGGGCCATGGCCAAACTGCTCAAAGAGGCCCAGAGGCTCAAGACAGTGCTTAGTGCTAACATTGACTTCATGGCTCAGGTGAGTACACTGGTGTTAACCCTCTACTATTGGTCCATCTTGCTGGTTCTGTATTTCACAGTAGTGTCTTTTTTTTCTCGTTTTTTCAGGTGGAGGGTTTGTTGGACGATATTGACTTCAAATCAAAGGTGACCAGGTCTGAGTTTGAAGAATTGTGTGCTGATCTTTTTGAAAGAGTGCCTCGCCCGGTGGAGGAGGCCCTCGCTGTTGCAGAAATGAAACTGGTCAGTTTTTCCATTGCATTGATGTCTGATGTCTGATCTGTGTCTGATCAAGTTCAGCCTGGTCGTCCCACAGGACAGAACTTAATACAAGTTAAATGATACATGTGCACATATTGAGCTGATTGTCACTGTCACTACATAAGACCATATTGTAATAGAATTTCATAACAATAGAGCACAGGGTCCTATATACAATTCTGTACATTCTTACTTTCCAGCGGGGGATCCCCTGTAGCATTCTCACATTAGATTTGCCCGACTTACTGCAAAATGTATAATTGGAGGCGACGGGGAGAGGGTCTGCAGATAATCCAAAGGGCTCTTACTCAGACATTTGTGTTCACACATGCGCCACCTCTCGAGAAAGTGCGGAGAGTCTCCAGAGTTCAGTGCATGTTTGAAAGCAGGTTAAGTGGGCCTGTGTTCTTATTTGTTAGTTTGTATTCCTTTGCTTATGACTCGCCCTGCTGTAAATGAACGGATGTCTGTTGCACTGCTGCAAAACTGAGTTCTTCTTTTTGTGCTGACAGGATGAAATTGAGCAGGTGATTTTAGTCGGTGGCTCCACCCGCGTCCCCAAAGTTCAGGAAGTGCTGCTCAAAGCTGTGGGGAAGTGAGTGTCATGCTGCTCTCACTTGAACAACTTTCACTTTCGAACATGTAAACACTTGATTGATTTCACATGATTCTCTTCGACTTAATATAGGAAAAGTGAGTTATGTTCCTGCAGGTTTAGTTGTGTTGATAGTACTTGTTGTGTAATTGTGTGTATTTGTCCTCACAGAGAGGAGCTGGGGAAGAACATCAATGCAGATGAGGCTGCAGCCATGGGCGCTGTGTACCAGGCTGCTGCCCTCAGCAAGGCCTTCAAGGTTAAACCTTTCCTGGTCAGAGATGCCGCTGTCTTCCCCATTCAGGTCAGTGCATGTCGTTCACTGAGATCACTAAAGTAATCTATGCTGTTATTTTCGTTTGTTTTGATCTTAGATGAGCTGTATTATAAATGAGGAAACTGGACCCATCTGTGGAGGTGTATGCAGTTTTAAATTCTCCTCATTTGTACACTGTTCAGAGTTTTTGAGCTGACTGAATGGCAATAAACTGTGCTGTTAAGCGCTTTGAGTGGTCATCAAGACTAGAAAAACTCTATGTTATTACAGACCATTTACCTGAAATTCACAGTCGGTTAGTTACCTGCATTTTTAACTGTTATAAAGTTTGATGTAAAAATAAATCCATGAAGCCATGTTAAAACTAATCACATGTTAAATAATTCAGGTGGAGTTCACCCGTGAGACAGAGGAGGATGGGGTCAAAACCTCGAAACACAACAAACGTATCCTCTTCCAGAGGATGGCGCCCTACCCCCAGCGCAAGGTCATTACATTCAACCGCTACAGCGATGACTTTGCGTTCGACATCAACTACGGAGACCTCAGCTTCCTGAGTCAGGATGACCTCAGGTTAGATAGCTGCTCACTTAAGCACTTTTTACCCCCTCTGGAAAAAGTGTTTTCCAGCACAAACATTGGTAGAGTCAGTTCAGTTCAGCTGTGATCATGACATTTTACAGCTTAAAAGCCAGAAGAAACCAGACTTTACAGAACAGTTGTCGAGTGTGAATTTGTTTTAACCCATGTTCCCTCATGATATACATATGTTGAACAGCTGTTCTACTCTGACCCTGTTGGTCATGTGTTGCAGTGTGTTTGGCTCTGTGAACCTGACCACTGTCAAACTGTCTGGAGTGGGCAGCAGTTTCCAGAAGCACGCAGACGCTGAGTCGAAAGGCATCAAAGCCCATTTCAACATGGATGAAAGTGGAGTGCTCCTGCTGGATCGGGCAAGTTACACTTTTGTGTTAATGTAGCCTCCTTATTGAACATTCAGTTTCATTTTATTTGAGTTGTGCCAAATCACAACATGCATTATCTCTACATTTACACAGAAACATTTCTAACATGCTGTTCACAGAGAAATACTTATAAACACAATATCAATAACTCATTTAAATTCTATGATCATCATCACTATGGGGATATTTCATTTTTGTAAATTGTCCTTCTCAGGTGGAGTCTGTCTTTGAAACAGTTGTGGAGGAAAAAGAAGAGGAATCAACATTGACTAGTAGGTTTTGCAAACACAAGTTGAAAATCAGCTCTTCAGTCAGTCTTAAAATCCATGTTATAGAGTTAATATGACTTCATCATTACGTAACAGAGCCATCACATTACTGTCTTTCAGAACTGGGTAACACAATTTCCACCTTGTTTGGTGGAGGATCTTCAGAACCTGCTCCAAATGTAACTGAGCCTGTCCAGGTAAGTGTATCTGTGTTCATGGTACAACACAGTAATGGGTTTGTTAATGAAATACAGTAAGGCCTGTATGAAGGAAGTACTTTTACATTTAGGGATACATTTCTTTGTCCTGGTTTATCTGTAACAATTGTTAGACTGAACTGCTTTAAGTGATTACTCAAGTGTCAGGTGGCAGCGCTCACACAGACCTTACCCTAGATGCCAACGCTGTTCCCTGATTTGTGACATCCAGGATGAGGAGGAAGTACCACCAGAGTCAGGAAAAGACGAGAAGGACGAGGTCCAGAAGGACGAGGCTGCCAAGGAAAAGCCAGATGATTCCGAAAAAAGTAAAAATACTGAAGAGAAAAGCCAGGAACAGACAGAGGAAGAAGGCAGCAAGACTGATGCCAAAGTAAGATTTTACCATTTGTAACCACTTGCAAAGCTCGTGTAGACTGTCTTTGGAGTGGTTCTACACTTTGAACAGAATTTGGTGAAAATCAATGTTGTAAGAGAGAATGGCCTGAAACATGTCACTGTCTTTGAAGGAGGAAAAGGATGGAGAGAAATCTGGAAACGCTGAGGCAGAGAAGGAGGAGGAGGAGGAGAAGAAGGCAAAACCTCAGAAAAAGGCCAAGATTTCTGATGAGATCACAGTGGAACTGATCATCAAGGACATCTTTGATCCCACTGCAGATACAGTCACTTCCTCTAAAAAGAAGTAAAAGAGCGATTGTTGATTCTTTCCTTAGTTTTTGTGTAATTTGGTTCTCAGTTCTGTCAGCTAAATTAAGTCCGTGTCTTTTCAGGCTGCAAGATTTGACGGACAGAGACCTGGCCAAACAGGAACGAGAGAAGACCCTCAACAGTTTGGAAGCGTTTATCTTTGAGACACAGGTTAGCATCGGACACCATCTGTGAGGTTTACCTTTTTATCTGTCTTTGTTTTTTAAGCAAGGACAACAACAAGCACATTATCCCTTCTAAATAATTAGAGATGCTCCAACCTGATTTCAATGCCTGAATCTGGTTATCTTACAATACCAGAGGTCTGTCTTTCTTTAACATAAGAATATTATTATGGTTATTATGTAGAATGCTACATAATGCTGTAGTTAATCAAATGACGCTTTATGAAAAGAGAAAAAACTATACAGAAATGTATTATATAGTAGATCAGAGCTAATCAACTTCAAAAGCAAGTAGGCCAAAAGGGAAAATCATTGGGGGTTGCTGTATAAGCCCTAATTTACTGCCACTGATCCCTCATACACACTGATCTTTTAATCACCTGAATGTTAACAAGTAACATTTAGAAAGGAGATTTAGGAATTAGAAAATGAAAGGAGGAAATGACTCTGAAAAGTTAAAGCAATGTAAACTATGGATAAAACGTGGAGAGATATATTGATCATATATGTTACTGCAGGAAGCTCCGTTACAGAATATTAACTTAATATAACATGATTTGGATCACCTGACATGACAACTACATAATGTTTCTAGAAGAAAGACATGAGTCAATGTCCGACCTTCCTCAATCCTCCTCAGCTGCTGTGACTTTGTCTGTAGATAAGTTTACAGCCTTTCCCACAGAATTCAGTACATTTTTGGCAGGAACAGGTTTGCATGAGCACAAAGGTCATTTTCAGGTGGATCAGATTCTGAGTGAAAGGTGTCCACAGACAAAAGAGTAAAAGAGAAGTTCTTGCGTGAGAGAAAGAACTGCATATGAGTGTCTGACTGTCTGGATGGTAAAAATGTTATGGACCATAGCCCAAGCAATTACCCACCAAATAGTGCTGCAAATGGCGCAGCACACACCAAGTTAAAAATATATTTTATTGTGAGAAGTGTACAAAAATAGAAACTGCTTAAACCAGATTCATAACAAACATAATCAACTCAGACTGCAGAAAGACAGCTTTTGTTGGCTTTTAAAGTTCACTGCTCTTTGAAAGGGTTATTATTAATGTGCTATTATCATTTTATCAGTGGTATGAAATGATTTCAAAATTATGAGAGTATAATTTATCACAATAATTAATAATAATAATGTATCAGCCAAAAAGATTTGTTATCATAAACTATCAGTGGCGATACCCAACCCTAATCAGCACCAGATACTGATATTGAATTGGATCTGTTCCATCTCAAAAAATAGCCATGTCACCAATGCTTCTTCCAAAGAAAACACAATACTTAATACTTTACATCACATTTAAATTTCTCCAGGACAAAATGTACCAGGAGGAATATCAGTTGGTGGTGTCAGAGGAGGAGAAGGAGCAGATCTCTGCCAAGCTGACGGAGGCATCAGAGTGGATGGATGAGGATGGTTACACGGCCTCCACCAAACAGCTCAGGGAGAAGCTGTCTCAGCTGAGGAGCTTGTGCAAGGACATGTTTTTCAGGGTGGAGGAGAGGCGCAAGTGGCCGGACCGCCTGGCCGCTCTGAACGGTATGCTCAACACCTCCAGCTTCTTCCTGAGGTGAGTGCTGATGGGGGGATGTGACAGAGCTGGGGACGTGAGCACTTTCTGTTGACTCGTGCATGTTTACGTTAAGCTGGTTAAAATAGCAAATGCATCATTTTACCCTCCATCCTCATGTCCACACTAATATGTTTTAGTTTTAAAAGTTTTAAAAGACCAAGGTTGTGTTTTTAGTTTTAGACAAGAAGAAACGGAACCTTTGGAAACGATGATGACACACGTTAGCGCCCTGATTAAGTAAAATCATTCATGACGTATCCTTTCCTGTTTGGTCACTCTCCTATGACATGACCTTATGTGGGGGATATCAAATAACAGACTCCCAGTGGTGATGCAGCATAGAAAACAGATTGTGTTGCTAACACTAGTCGTGTGTTGTTCCGCATTTTTTATAAAATGAAAATGTAGTACTCGGTCACGGCCTTGGCCCACCTCTTTCATGTGACCAAAATCCAAGGTACTGCCAGATGTGATGTGTAAGTTGATGCCATTGATACTCACTAGATGTTGGCCTTGAGACAGATTTGTTGTTTTACACGTGTTGAACATATTTTACTGTGGATAGAGGTTAACAAGGACCAGGAAATGCTGTGTGGATTCAAGCTGTGCTCACATTAATTTTAGAATTTCAGCAGCATCACATAGACAGTGTCATCATTGTTGTTTCTCTTTCCAAGGAGTGCCAGACTGATTCCTGAGGACGACCAGATCTTCACTGAAGTTGAGCTGAATTTGTTAGAAACCCTCATCAATGAAACAACGGTAGGTGATGAATGAATGAATGCTCTCAGATTGTCATCACACCAGGAGGTGGAGCTGATACTATTGATTGATACCAGTATATCCTCAAAAGCTTGTTTACACCTCAAATATTTCTCTAGAATTATTCATCAAGTACCACACGCTATTACATTTACTGGGACATTAACAAAATAGTGTTATATGACATAAAGGGAGACAGCACAGCTCTGGCAGGGTATGATTGGGATATCCCCCACCCTCTTAACCCCTGCGCCTCAGTAAGGTTAGGGATCTGCATGAGAGATTAAAAATAAAATGGTCAAATCAGCAGATTCACCACATCATAATCCAGACTTCCCCTTTCAAGCTTAAGCCTCAAATAACCCTGATGACACCACCATGACATCATCAGGATTATTTTCTCAGACTCCTTCCAGAGCCACTGAAGACATCTTGTCACTGCTTTTACGGCTGGGTGGTTCTCTTTGAATCAGGTAAACTGATCCTCATGTGTCAATTGTTCCAGACGTGGAAGAACGAGACGGTGGCACAGCAGGAGAAACGCTCTCCAAAAGAGCGACCGGTCCTGCTGTCTAAAGACATCGAGTCCAAGCTGGCACTGCTGGATCGAGAGGTCAACTACTTGCTCAACAAGGCCAAGTTTGCCAAACCGAAGGCTAAAGCCAAAGCTAAGAACAGCACCAGCTCAGAGAAAAGCAGCAAGGCCAATAACACAGCTGAGGAGAAGGTCATCCCTCCCACAGAGGAGAGCACAGACTCAAAGAGTGGTGGGTCAAACAGCACAACACACAGACCTGTTGTTCTTCTTCCACAAATCCTAAATAACAAAATGTTTGTTATTTCTCATTGAATTGCAGAAATCCCAGAGGAGGCTCCGCCGGGCGAGGCCCCGCCTACCGAGAGCACTGTACCCACAGACTCAGACAGCCAATCACAGCCCTCAGAAGAAACGACAACCACAGGTCGGTCTGCCATACCTGTTGCTGATAATGCCAGAGAACTTTAGGGTGCGGACAAAATAACTGGAAAGAAATTAGATGTGGTCTCTTACAACACTAAACGTCAGGCTCAGAAGTCACCTGGATGAAGTCACTGGCACACACTATCAACACAAATGGAACTTTATATCACTGCAGTGGATTGCATTAAATTATGAATCATGCTCACTCATTTCTGTTATAATGAATGATCAGGTCCAGTTTTTTCTCTAAAAACAAGGACCTTGATTATAACAGTTAAAACAAGATATTCATAGAAGAGAGTGAAATTAGATTTTTGCATAATGAACCATATTGACAAAAACCTCAATGTCAAGAAGCTGGAATGATACATGATAAGTGTATTCCTGTCAAAAGCAATAAATCATGCATAATAATACTGATGTCATTTCTTAAAAGGTTGCATTACATCCACATCTCATGCAGAGGAGCATTTGTTTTACATGTTAACGACAAATTGATTTTAGAGGCTAAAAACCGAAATGGGCAGCTCCCTCTTTGCTCTTTGATTATTCTCCTACTTTTGTTTTTGCCTGTGAAGTGTAATTCCCATGTGCTGCAGTTGAAAATATGAATAGTTAGCTGCAGGGTAAGAGTGATTCTAAATTCTTTGTAATGGCCACAGGAGTGTTTGTTAGTCAGTTGTGACATGTGAACATTTTAACATAACAACGTAAGCTTGTAAAGCAAAGCTGATGACGAAACAGGTCGCCATTTTCCCCTCTGACTTCAAACTTAGGCGTTTCAAATGTTGCATTTATTCAGTGTCAGCTATAAATGTGGGCATCAGTTCCTCTGCCCGTGTAGTTGTGGACTGGAGAGGAAATGTTCTCAGTACTGTGAGCTCTTTTCTACTAATGAATAGAGCTGCTATAATGCCACATACATTCAGTATTCATTTTTTCCCTTCTCTGTCCTCATTTTCAGCACCAAAGGACAAGGACAAACCTGAAAACCATATAGACGATGAATTATAACAGCTGGAACTGGGGGAAAAATCACTATATTTATTGACAGTGTATAAATGTTCAAGTTCCTTCTTGCTCTTTTTTTTTTTTTCTTCTTTTTTTGCCCCGGTCGTTGAACTTCTGGGAGCTGAATGGATGAGGACCGAAGTCCACACTCATCTTCTTCCCAGATTTGTCTCTTCTCGCCCTTCATCTCTTTTACTTTCATGGATTCTGTAAGCAATGGACACTTGCAACACGAGGAACCAGTCAAATAAAAATAGAGCCCCACACTGTGTGTGCTGTGATAGATGCACGGTCCAAAAGCCCCTCTCACGTCCAACAGATGGTTTCCTAAATGCTGATCAGGCCTTATAGAAATAACAATTGACAAGAACGAGTGCTGTAACAGTCGTCATTCGTAAACTTCTCATTTCCTGCTTGGTCCTCTGCACTGTATCCTCAACCATGCTGTGTTGTTGAGAGATTAATGTTTGTCCTAACACCTGCCCTTTACTTTCACTGACCTGTCATGGATTGAGTGCACTAGAGTCCTCTAGAGGAAACTCTGAGGGTAGATATATTTTTATTTTTTTCCTCCAAGCCCAAAAATGTATTTTGTACATTTTAGAGAAATTTGTAGAAAACAGACAAAAGGTAGAAGCAAATCTCAAACACATACAGTTTATGTAAAAATGTATTGTAAGTACAGTGGATTGGTTAAAATGGAAAGCATCTCTAATCTGGTGAATAATAATTGTTGATATGGCTGTGTGGCATAATATCCAAAGTCCCACTGTAATTTCTCAGTGAGCAGCAGAATAAGAAGGATCGTGATTTATTGATTTATTCCTGACCAGTGATGCTGGTATAAATGTGCATTGTATATAAACATGTGGAAACTACATGGTTGAGAATAGGTGTCTATCCATCATAAGTCACTTGCATTTAATTTCTTTAGTAAGCTTACCTGATTGGATTTAATGACGAATGCCCAATATTACACACCCTGAAGTCCAAATTCACCTCGTCCCCCCCCCCCAAACTATTTGCTCTATTGAATCATGATTACCTCAAAAAACGCAGTTGCCAAATAGGAAACATGTCAAATTTAAATGGCATCTCCACATATCTGCTTAACATTAGGCTTCTGATCCTGTTCAACCAAAATTATACATGACTCAGTTTTTCCACTGATGCCTGTCCAACCTCTGAAAAGGGTTTGAATCTGTTTCAGTGACAGCAGACAAACTGCATGTTTTCAAAGTGTCATGAGCTGCTAACATTATAGAGGAGGCGGAAGTGATGTCACTGCTCTTTGCCTCGACGTGCCCTCTGCTGCAGCTTCTTGCCCAGATGTTGGCTCCACTTCTCCTTCCATGTGTGGGTCAGTAGTGCGCTTCTTTGTTATTGGCACTCTGGATTATTTAAAGAGGAAAGTTAAAATCAAACAAACAAAGGCAGGAATTGAAAATGCTAATAATGTTGTGTTTCTAAACTGTTAATAAAGAATCTTTTTGTTTTTAATTAGTCATTTTGGTTCAATTTGTTTCTTCAATAATCACGCAGTAATTGAGCTAGTTCATGCTTTTGTCTGTGGTGTTGAGTCATCCACTCAGTTGATGGTAATAAATGTGAACAGGAGGGTCGGTCTCACACTCCTGTAAATCAGATATAGCCACGGAATTATAAGGTGAACCGCTGACATATCAGAGTGACGACTCACAGGAGGTCTGACCGGAATCTGCTGCAACTGATAACTTATTTTCATTAAGTAGGTTTTATGACCAAAGAGCTCTGTTGGATTTGTGTCAAAACCAGCACTTAAAAAAGTATGAACCAACAACTTCAACAAATGCTTTTATTTAAAGGTCCAGTATACAAATACAGTATGGATTCAGACACTCTGAGCACTTTGAGGAACACCAGTATATTTGGCAGTAGTGCAATGTATAAAAATCCTGCAGATACAGGTCACGAGCTTCAGTTAATGTTAATATCGAACATAAGAATGATGAAAACGTGATCTCTGACTTTGACAGTGACAGTCAGACGTGCTGGTTTTAATATTTCTGAAACTACTGATTTCCTTAATTTTCACACACAAATGCTGTGTTGATGAGAATGGAGAATGTTCGGACAGGTGGGTGCTACAGTAACTCAGATCACTTATATTCAAACTTTTTGAAAAGAATGTGAAAATGACGTCCAACCTTAAGTTGGATGATCTACAACAGCAGAGACCACGTCAGGTTCACTCCTGTCAGGCGAGAACAGAAAGGAGGCTGCAGTGACACAGACTCACGAACAGTTGAGGAGGAAAAATGTAGCCTGGTCTGATGAATCTGGATTTCTGCTGAACTGAATCTGAATTTTCCTCAGCAGCAGGAATCCATCCATGGAAAGGCATCCGCTTTTCTGGGCTCATGTCGCACAGGTAGCCGGTCAAGTAGGGTATCCCAGATGTTCCTCTCCCTATCAACACTTTCCAGCTCTTCCTCTGGGATCCAGAGGTGTTCCTTGGCCAGAAGGGACATCTAGTCCCTCCAGCACGTTTTGGGTCTACCCCAGGGTCTCCACCCGGTTGGATGTGCCCTAACTAGATGCCTGAACCATCTCAACTGTTCCCTTTGGAGATGAAAGAGCTGCGTGTCTACTCAGAGCTCCTTCCGGATCTTTTAACTTCTCACCGAATGTCTAAGGCTGAGTCCCGCAAACCGATGGAGAAAACTTGTATTTGCAACTTTTTTCTTTCGGTCACCAGGGCTTATAACTACAGGTGACGGTTAGGTCGACTAGTAAATCAAAAGCTTTGACTTCCTTCTTTACCACAATGATCCGGTTCAACTACCACATTCCTGCCTCATCTATCCAACTGTCCATATCACGCGCCAACGTACCCTCACTTGTGAAGAAGACCCTGAGATACTTCAACTCCTTCACTTGCTGCAGCATCAACACGGTGCGACATCCTCTGCCTTTAACCTTTGCACATGAGCATCCTACTGAGCTGCTAACTAAATCACAGGATCCGCAGTTTATTTAAATTCAAATTTTTCAATTTTGGTTTAAGTCTGAGCCATATTCTGAGAGATTTGCATAGTATCAAACTAGTTTATGAACATGATAGTGAGTTCAGTGAACATCAGTGTCCTCCTCAGTCACCGGATGTGAATCCAGAGGAACCTGTGTGGTGTGGTAGAACAGAGATTGGCAGGTGGAATGAGTAGCTGACAAATCTGCAGAGATGATGTGATGCAGTCATGGCAAAATGTGATGAGTGATGTGTGAGTCTCAGAGGAAAGTGTCTACAATCTTTTGGAATCTGTGACACCAAGCTCTGAAGCTGTTAGAGAGCAGTGAGAGGAAAAGATCCAGTGGTGTTTCTGATAAAGTGCTCGTAGAGTGGGAGTCAGTTTGTAAAATCACATCTTGTAAAATGATTGTAAGAAACACCATAGAAAATCACCATAACTAAAAACAAAAGAAACTTATAAAATGTGTGAGCCTTTAGTAGATAGACAATTAAAAATGTTACCCATAATCCTGGTTTAACAGTCCAAAACACCCCACAAATCCATTAAACTAACATCAGAATGTATAAAGCAGTGTGCAAGGGATGTGAGGGTATGAATGTGTGAACAGTACTGTTGCCCTGTCTTATTTAAATAATGCTATATTATATATATGAAAATACCAATTAATGTAAAAAGTTGTTTGAGTGACCTCTGACATTTGCTCTCACTCATTGAAGCTCTCACAGTATTGTAAACCGTGCTGAATGAAAGAGGACAGAATCCTTTTCAAGCTGTATTGACCCTCAGTCATTCTTTTGTGCACAGACCTAATTTGTTTGAAATGGCATTGGAGTTGCGCATCTGGTAAACGACGAAAGCCACCAGAGTGAGGCAGATGACCCCGACAGTGCCTGCAATGACTGAAACCACCACCACAGTGTTATTGTCATGGGTCTGCTGAGTCCCTGGAAAGGAAAAAACACACCAAGAATTAGACCACATAGAGCAATCTATATAGTTTTTATACTAATGAGCATAGCTATTGACAGGTAAGCATTTACCTGTCAATAGTTTTCCCTGATCATTTACATAAAGTCACTACCATCTGAGTTTAAAGATCCATCTATCCATTTATTTTTGGCAGCTTGTTCAATTTTTGGTTAGCAGAGCGACCCGACCTTGACAGGAATTCATCCATTAGATACTTGGTTAGATATTCGGAACCACCTCAAAAAATGTCTTCTAGTTATGTACTTCTGGGTTGGAGCCAGAGTCGATAAAAACCTGTCTGTGACAGAGTCATTTGACCTGGGTGTGAATGCCAATTGTATTCATTCTGCAGACAAAAGTCAGATGTTAATGGGTGTTAGTGGGTTTTTGGACCAGTGGAAAAGGGGCTTCAAATCCCACTGGAAAGTTGTGGGGTGAGGGGGTTTCAGACATTTTCTCTGAGCTGCTGCCTCTGTCTCACTCAGACTCAATCTAGCATGCATGTCCCACTTCTTGTAGTGATTGGCCATATTTCCCAGTTGAACTTCTCACTCAAACACTTTTTTGGTTTATTACTTAAGAGATCAACACTATAAATCCCCTCCATCAAAGCCTCTCGGATCAAAGCCCACCAACAAGAAGCTCACCTGAACCTTTCCCTAGGGCAGGCTTTAAGACATGGTCCTACATTTGTCAAGTGAGGAGTCTTTAATTTTGGACAAATTAACTCAACAAGGAATGTGTAAATGATCAGAAAAAACATATCAACCGAGTTGTCCAATGTGACTGTACATTAGTAGATAGAATTACTGTAATAAAAGGTGAGAAGTCTGCTTACCTCCAGATCCCAGCATATTGCCTACATAAATAAAAGAAAAGGAAACCTTCAATTCATTCATGACCAAAGGTAAATTTAGTCTTAAAACATAACATATGACACTGCCTTTGTTACTGTTGTATATTTTACAGACCTTGTGGGTTCTTACCATTATCTAAACGGGTAGTGATGGGGCCTGAGGTGATTGTGGCTGAGTCACTCACTGTGGTGCCTTGGCTGTTGCTGATGCTGCGACGCCTCCTGGAGTTGGTGCAGTTCTGCAGGTCAATCAGGTACATGTCATTTTGGTACAGACAGTTTTGCGAATGTTACATTTGTGCCACAAAACCAACAATTAATTTTTGATTGACTGCTCATTAATACTGATGATGGTAAACATGCAAATACATTTGTTGAGCACAGAATTTCAATTTTTGTTTGCTCAAACAAAATTATTTTTGGCCTCTATCTCTTTAAAACATAACTTAAAACATATATTTTAAATTGCTCACACAAGAATAAGGCACAAATATAATGCTATAGAAAAGCACCATATAATTGCATTTCATTTAACTTTATATCTAGATCCACAGTGTATCGTTTGTGCAGCCAAGTGTTCTAATCATTTAGGTCCATGATGAACTTATCTTTATCTACATTTGACATCCAGTGCTAACTTCCAGTGCCATTGAAAGGAGAAGAGTAGTTGTACCTTTCTGTAGATGAGCAGAAAGTGAGTGTATGGAGGAGGAATCTGACCTGAGTGAGGCTGGGGCAGAAGGACTTTAGACAGAGCCTGGTGGCACAGTGGACGTAATAGGTGGAGAGAGTTTCTGTGCTTTGCACAAAGCGGAAAGCCTCAAAGGAGAAGCGGGCATCCTGTTGCTCTCCATTGTTTCCTATCACAGTCTGGACATCCAGGTCACACCTTGATGAAGAGAGATGCTGTTTTCTAGCAGGTTTCTATCTATAATCTACACATCTATAAATTCTGACCAAAAGACAAACATGATTTTACCCCTAAAACCATTGTATTTGCATATATAACCACTGGAGATGAGTTCAGTTGGAAGGTTATTTTTAATCCCTGTAGTTGAAAATATCAAACAATCAACTGAGCCAACTCCACATGATAATAAAGACCATGATGTGGTAGTTTTCTCAAAAAGCCAAAAAGTGTAACTCTTTTTCTATTCGCTTTTCATCTTTGTAACTCACCCGACAAATAGGTCATGGAATGTGTCTTTAACATTGAAAGGTGAGGATGTGGCATAACATCGGTCCAGGAGCACGTTGAATCTGCAAAGTTTAGATATTAGCACATGTTAAAAGGCCAGATATACAAATATTTTTAGGTGAGATTACATTGGCTTTACTTCATTGTGTTGTAGAATTTGGGAATTTGGATAAAATTTGCAGTTGAGTTGCTTTGATTTTTTAAAAATGATCTATGAGAAGTGTCTACAATTTGATTGGAGTCCACCTGCGGCAAATAGAATTGATTGGTCATAATTTAGAAAGATGCCTACACATGACCTACCCATTAGGTCTATAGAACTATGTAGACCTCCATGATAACATTTTGTGTAGGGGCATAGATCAGAGCAAGGGCTTAAATGCATTTCTAAAGCTATCAGTGTTCCCAGGAGCACAGTAGCCTCAATGAAAGAATGGAGAATGTAGAATGGAAGAGGTTTGGAAACACCAGAACTCTTCCAGCCAGCCCAACTGAACTTTGGTCAGGGATATGACCAAGATACTTACAGAAGCCGAGGCTCTGTTTCTAGACCCTGAAGCTGACTTCAGTTCAGTTTAGTTAATTAGATAGAAAACCTCCCATCCGTTGTACATAAGATAGCATGAATAAAATTGCAAAACTTTCTAAAAATGTGTTCCCACTTTATCATTGAAGATATTAAGTGTAGACTGGTGGGCAGAATTGGCAATTTATTAATTTAGAATTAACACGACATAGCATTAAAAAAGATAATAGGGTCTGAATAATTTCTGAACTAGAATCAGTATCCTCTGTACCTGTTGCTGAGATTTGATGCCCTTACTTCTACAAAGATCCTGGTCTTTAGCTCCAGGCCTCCAAAGGGGATCTGTAGCATGGAGGAGTAGCTATTGTCCTTTACATCCAACAACAGAGGAGAGGAGAGGATGTTGTTAGACTGATGCATGTTGTTCCTTCTGACAGAATGAGTTCTAGTCTCAGGTTTCAGTCTGGGGAAAGGCCATAGCAAGGGTCTTTCTGCTGATGTATACTGGGCTATATGAAGCAGTTGTATAATATGACATCATCATCATTATTCACGTCTAAAAGAATAGTATCCAGTATCCAAACAAAGGTACAAGGATGACCGAGTTTATATGTGCTGGCATCATCAAATGATTCAATGTATTTATGTCCGTTAGATAATCCGGATCCCACAGCAAATAATAAACACATGAAGAGAAGAAACCTTTTCATGCTAATTAAACTACCGGAGGTTATAGTTCAAAATTAGTTCAGCCATAAGTGTAGCCTGACTTTCGGGAATATTCAGCATTGTCTTAAAGCCAAAATACAGAAGGTGAGAGGGATAATAGTGTTTTAGGTCTGTAAGAACAAAGTAACTTATCCTAGACTGAGATCAAAGGGGAAGTTTGCCTATTTGGGAAATAGACTTGTTTACCATGAGTGGGCTAAAAAAATTACTCTAGAGACTTAAGGAGGAAACTTTTCATTCAAGATATAGACCTACTCCAACCACTTTAAAACCATCCGTGTCATTTTACACTCTTTTACTATATCTTTGGAAAAAGCCAAGCTGCTCCCCATTTAAGACTATTAACCCTTACAGCTGATCTACTGGTCTCGTGGTTCCAGCTTCATATTTAGCAGGAAGACATGAGAGTGGAATCCATCTTCTCACAAATTGTAGGCTTAAGTGAATAAGCTTATTGTCCATGTATTAACAAAGTAAGTACTGATGCCTATAGTGGTGGAGGATGTGGTTAAGCCCTATAAGGCATTCTAATTCTAATTTATGAACATGGGTTTTACAAATAAAATGTGCTTGCTGAGATTAAATGATTTCCTTGATTTAAATAATGTAATGCACATCTGGAAGGTGACGGTGCTTTTTATTCCACTGTGCTATGTGTCTTTTTTCTGACAGTTCGTTTAAAGCAGCTTTCTAGTGACACCTCACTCAGCTCACCATGAAGAGTCCCATGCTCAGTGTGCTGACAAAACTCCCATTATTGTCTTTGACTGCCAGACTGACCCCAGATCTGTTGGGCAAAAAGAAAAAGTTTCGTCAAAAGCTGGAATTCATTACAGGAAAGACCTGAGTGGTTGACAACCAGGTCATCATTCATTTGATACATGAGGGAACAACACACCAGGGTGAGATTCAAACCCTCCTGAAACTAGACACGCAGGTAACACACACCTCTGAGGACACTGGCTGCTCCATGAAGCCTCACTAAAGATGGTAACCTGATACTTTCTAATATACAGTAAATCTGTGGTTTATTCATCATTCAAGCTTTTAAAAATCCCTAACTGTCCTTATTATCCAGAGTTGAATGTATTTGAAAAATATACTTGGCGCTTCTACTGATTTTTCTTTTTTTTTGATATCTGCATCATATGGTGATTCGTTTTTTCATTTACCTCCCATTAAGGTCTGTAATCTGCAATCAATTATTTGCAAACAGATTCCTCAGTGCAATGAGATTTTGATTTTTAACTTCAACTTTATTGTCCCTTAGGGGAAATTTGTGAAACACAGTACACACATAGACTTGAGCGTAAAACATGTAATAGAATGTGGTGAAATTAAACTTACACACACCAGATAGAATAAACTCAAATGACAGGATAACAGTAAAAAGTTGACACAAGAGATAAATATAATTTCTCATCCTTGCTTCTCTGGTATTTTAATCCTGCAGGAGGAGAATCTTAAATTCCATCAGAGGGAATGTGAGACAGAGTGGACAGTTTGTTGGTGCCTGAGATCACAGCAGCATCAATGAACTACCATGTGAATGAATAAACATAATGACTGACTCAACCATAGAACTGAATCCTAGTGATAATCACTGCCCATGTTAACCAGCCACTTCTTCTGCTATCAATTCCAACTGGAAAAGTAAAACAAATCCCTTCTTATTTAACTGAATGTTTTAGTGGGGAAAGCTAGTGGCATTAGACCAGTGTCAAACTACACACAAACAAAAAAATGTACATTCAATATATTTGATTCAATCATCAAAATAATGTTTTATAAAATAGAAATCTTTGATTTGCAAAGCAAGAGCAGAGTTTAGGAGTGAATAATAAGTGTTTGATTGTGTTTTCACCATCTAACAGCAGCAATGGAAAATTATGTCTTGTGTGCATTTTTAAAGACCAATAAAAGAAATGTCAGAGAGCTACTTGATTCCACATATTTATATGAGGATGGAATTATTGCGGATATCGATTCTTGTTTACAGAAGCCAATAGCTGCTGTCTTACCAGGATCGACAGTAACTAGCAGCTTGTTTAAAATAGAGAAAATCTGCACACCTAATTCTCCTGTTTAAGGATTTATTTGCCTGTGATGTTTCGAGCTCAAGGCTCCCCTAAGACTTCTGGTAAAGGAACAGAAACGCCATCTTCAATACCCACAATTCATTTTGAACAAATCACATAATATATCAACAAACACCGAGTATATACATTATAGTAGATACCAAAGCTTTTTTGGAGTTACACAAACACAACCTTTTCCATGATTTGACCTCCTCCTTCACAAGTTCTGTATGTTCTCCCTTGATAACATGTATTTTCTATTTTTCTCTTGATACATCTGCCAGAATGTTGAGCTTTGTTGTTACTCTGACTCTCTCTATTTTAACATAAAACAAGACAGAGACGCCTGTAGTTACTATTTGTAACTGCTATTTATACTCAACCTATATGGAATACCAACTATTGATGTGGCAGTTTATATTTTTATAGTAATATTTGCTATGGTATCTACTATGTAGACATTCTGTATTGCTGATAGATGATGTGATTTGTTCAAAATGGATTTTGAAAGAGAAGAGCCTTCATTGTGCTCACTGGCAAATACTGTAAATCATTTAACAGCAGCTTTAAGTGTTCCACTTTTCTTTTTTCCTAATTTTTTGTGATGTTGATCCAACATGCTCTGTGTCGTCCTGGTCTTCTCCCAAACGCCTTTGTCTACAACTGTGGATTTAACAGATCAATAGGACAATATAGGTCCCTGTGCACCAGTCACTCACCAGCAGAATTATAGTCACAGGGCGGGACTAAAAATTCCATAAGCAGTTAAAGGTCCAGTGTGTAAGAAATAGGAGAAAGGGATCTGTTGGCAAAAAACTGAATATAAAATAATGATGGGATGTTTTCACTAGTGTGTTTTATCTAAATTGTCCAAATTCTTGTTTTCTTTACCCTAGAATGGGCCCTTTATATTGAAATACTTTATATTTATATAGCTAGCAGTACCTCTCTACAGAGGCCGCCATATTTTTTACAGTTGCTCAAACTGGACAAACTAAACACCTATTGAGTTTTTATGACGAATGAAGGTTTCTACACGTTCTCTTTCATGTTTGAAAGGAGAGGGTAAGGTGAGCGGTATCCTTCTGCAAAATGCAAATTCACCACTAAATTCTACACACTGAACCAATATTCTTCATTTCATGGGGCCTTTTAACAGCTGGGTCCACTCACACACTCATTTGAGTATTGTTGACCAGGTACTGCAGAGGGTAGCGGCAGGAGAACCTGTACATCGTCTCTTGGTGATAGGTAATGGATCCTTTACTGGGGTCCTTCGAGCAGACCATGCCTGCGATATTGATGTACTCAACATGGGAGAAGTCTGAAAACAGGCCAGTTCCCGACTCCTGGGTGACCTACGAGAAAAGGAGTTTAGGTTTGCTGCGTTAAACTCTGTTGTGTGAGTGCTGGGTGTTTTGAGGCATCGGTAACTTACTGTCAGCGTGCTGGAGCAGGCACTGATGCCCTCCTCTGTGATGGAGAAGTTGAATCTAACAACAGGTGGGTCCACTGCCCAGTCAGCTGTGCCTTTACACAGTTGAATGGAATGTTCTGAGTTGAGGGACAGCAGAGACTCGTTGTATCCATTGAAATAGATGGGGCACAGAAGGATCTGTAGGTCCACTGTCTGAGAGCCACAGACGACCTGGATGTCGGAGTTAGCTGAATAGAAAGACCAGAATCAGCTCTGCGGATCTGCTGCTGTCAACTGTAGAATGGATTTCTTAAAGGGGCACTCCTCAGATTTTACAATACACAGACATATGACTCCGCATGTATCGTGCCCTCTGGGGCTCTGGAGGAGAAACATCAAGTCTTCAAATCAACTTTATTCTATTTTGTAAATAACAGGAAGCCCCTGTCACACTGAAGGTGAGAGATATAGTGGGGGCTTGTGGGAGTCCGTCTGAAAGAGTTAACTAGTGAGGTGCTGAGTCCTATTCATTTCTGCTATAGACAGTAGACACATTTACATGGATACCACTATTTCAATTATAACCCGATTCAGTTCATCAGAATACTACACTACCATGTTAACAGCATTATCTGATTACTTGTGGACTACTCTGACCTGAGTCGCATAATGTCAACATGTCTATTTCTTACAGGCATAATAACATCCTACTGGAGTTTCACAGCATTCTGCAACATTGACATACACTGCTGTGTGTTGATGACACATGCCCTGAGTGACAGTGTGAACAAGTAGGACAAAATTTTGACATGAGTCACAACCAGTCCATGCTCTTTTTAGTGAAATGTGATCATGTAAACAGCACAATTGAAATATTGCTTAACTCAGAATAATATCAATGGTCAGTACAAGTCTGTGGATACAAGAGGAGAAGTTACCTAAAACTATGCTCAGATGGCCGCCAACATTGAGTTCTTCCAGTTAATGAGGGAGTGTTTTCTCGTCACAGTCGCCAAAGTGCTGCTCATTGTGGGAAGTGTTGGGTTTCTCTATAATTTTTAAGGGCTTGACCTTCTATGTAAAGTGCCTTGAGATTATGTATATTATGATTTGGTGCTATACAACTACCATTGAATTGAATTGAATTGAAAACTGCCATTGTCCAAGCTTAAAGGTCTGTTGATGTGCCCCACTACCAGTGACTTGAACCTCAAGGCTAAACTGTATAAAAGCTGACAATACAATCAACAGTTTAAATTGAATTCTGGTTCCACTATTCATGTCCCTGAATGACCTCCTCTCCATAGCAATGGTAGTAAAGATTAATCTTATCTGATGGTTTTCAGTTGGTCTGTTTCTGAATGTGAATGTGTGCTTCAAAATTGTAGTTTAAAATTTTTGCAACTAAATGTGTTTTATGTCCTCCTAACTTCTCAAAACTTCGATAGCCAGACTGACACTGTGCTGATGCTTATCAGGCTGCAGTGGAAAAAAAAAGAGGGACAGGAATTGGGGGATGGTCAAAGTCAGAGCAGCTGGATGTAAAGGATGAGAGTGTGAGTACTGCTGGTTTCACTGACCTGGACTTCTGAATGTGGAGTGTCCAATGCAGGCATTCTGAGCTCGGGCCAGAAGGAGTGTGGCAAGTTGATATGCAACAAGGACCAACCACATTGTCCTCAAACTGCAGGGAACGATAGACAGAAATCAGACATGCACATGAGTCCATCCCCAGAGAGCTCAAAATCAAATAAATAAATAAAATTACCCTGGCCTCGGCTCTGTCACTGATATATCCTCGTATCTGACAATCCTCAAATAAATGAGGATGGAAGTATTGTGGATATCGATTTGTGTTTACAGTAGCAAATAGCTGCTGTCATGCTAGCCTCGACAGTAACTAGCAGCTAGCAGCGTTTAAAATAGAGAAAATCCACACACCTATATCTTCCGTTAGAGGATGTAATTGCCTGTGATGTTTTGAGCACAAAGCTCTCTTTAAGACTTGTCAGCAAGCAACAGAGTCACAATCTTAAATACACATAAGAAGATTAAGATTTAGCATCAAATTTTGATCTGAAAAGTATGCAGTATCCAGCTGTCAGATAAGTGTAGTGAAATAAAAGCAATGGAATAGGAGTAGCCTACAGATTCTAGAATATAATGGAGAAGCTTATATGTGTAAAA